GGGGGCCGGGCTCCTGCCCGGCTGGTGCGAGGCTGTGGCAGCCGTCACGCCCCCCATCACGGGCAGGAAGGGCAGGTGTGGGCATTCGTGTATCTTTTTAAAAAATATTTTTATTAACTTCACAGAGGAAGGGAGAGAGAGAGAGAGAGAGAAGCATCCGTGATGAGAGAGAATCACCCATTGGCTGCCTCTGCACGCCCCACACTGGGGATCAAGCCCACAACCTGGGCACGTGCCCTGGATCAAGATCGAAACCTGACCTCCTGGTTCACAGGTCAATGCTCAACCACTGAGCCACGCCGGCCGGGCTGTTTGCGTCTATTTTCAGCCGCTTTATTGAGATAGAGCCGCCAGAGCCTGCAGTCCCAGCGCCTTCGATTGATCGATGCCTGAGTCAGGTGACCGTCCCCTTGATCCGTTTCGGAACATTCCCACGCTGCCCCGGCAACAACCCTGCTCCTGCCCCCTGCCCAACCCACCCGGCCCCGTCGCGACCTGCTGCCACCGCGTGGATTCAGGAGGTTCTAAGAACACGGATCACACGTGTGGCCTTGGGTGACCGGCTTCTCTCACTGCGGTGCCCTCCGGGCCCATCGCTTCGAGCTGAGTGATTTTCTGTGGGGTGTGCACACGTTCGAGGGCCGTGTCCGCATGGGCGTGGACCGCTTCCACCCCACAGGCCACGTCACCCGAAAGGTCCCACCAGGGCTAGAGCCGCCTGCCCTCCGTGGAAGGGTCTTTCCAATCCCCCAAGTCCCCGAAGGCTGCGGGGAGGTGGGGTACGTCCTCGACAGTCCCCACTCCCGAGGGTGTCCCGAAGGGCCCATATCCACAGCGGGTCCCTGAGCGCCCACCTGGGTCAGGAGTTGGAGGGGGGCCTCCACCTGTGCGGCTGCCCTGCGTTTCCCCCCACTCCCCGGTGCCCCTCGAAGTCCTGCACCCCAGGTCCTGCTCCGCTCAGAGGACACTCAGCTCTCACCCTCAGAAATCCTCCAGTGCCCGAGTGGGGTGGCCGGGCTCCTGCAACCAACTCGAAGTCCCTTTGGAGCATAGAACCCCCCCTCTGAGCCGTGCTGGGACCCCCTCCATGCCAAACAGTGTGCTCTGCCCCTCTGCCGTGTGTGGGGGTGACCCACTGCGGGGACACCCCTCCATTCCTGCCAGCTCAGCGCTCTGCTCCCCCCGGGCTCTGGGACGCCTCTGCTTCCCGGGCAAAAGGGGCAAGAGCCTGGTCTCTATCCCAGGAACCTCTCAGGTTTGCACCCAGCTCAGCCGGAGGTGCTGCACCCACAGGCTCAGCAGGACGCCTGTGGGGATGGGCGGGCCCCTGGCCTTGGAGGCGGCCGGCCCGGGACCCTCCCCTCGGGTCCAGCAGCGACCTGCTCAGCATCTGCGTTCACTCCTCCCGGCTGAGATCACCCGCGGCCCCCAGCCCCCCAAATCACTTCATTATTTCTTTGTAAATAGGGCTTTTCCTAGTCAAAATAATCAGCATTTTTGTGTTGCTCCCACATCTGGCTTTGATTGGCCCCAGCCTCCTGGGGTGGATGCTGCAGCCCTGACGTTATGATGAGGGGAGAGGGGCGCCTGCCTTCCTTCCCGCACAGGCGGCGTGGGGGTGGCGGTCCTGCTCTCCCTTCACAGCTGCGCTCTGCCCGCCCCGCTCTGCAGGGCCCTGCTTCTGCCTCTGCAGAGTTGGGGGCTGGGGACTCCCCTTCCACAGAGCTCCCAGGAATGCACGTGGGTTCTGTGCCCTGAAGGGACTTAGGGTCGGTTGCAAAGATAGGACAGGCGCCCACACCCTCAGCAACTGGGGGTCAGCCCAAGGCCCCTGACATGTGGTAAACATCCCAGCTCCTGCACCTCTCGCCCTGGGACGGAGCGGGCAGCTCCCTCTCGCCCTCTGGGAGCTTGGCCATCCCCTCTCATCAAGAGCTGTACACGAGGAGGACTCCCTAAGTCCCCCCACCCTTCTGCGTGGAGTCTGTGTCCCCTGCAGGGAGCAGGGCCTGGAGGTCAGAGGTCAGGGAGGCTGGAGGCTGGAGACGGCTGGTCTGTCAGTTCCAACAGGAACTCCCGTCCTCCTTTCCTTCCCACATGGGCTCATGCACGTTGGTGCAACTCCATGGGCCCCCGAGAGGGTCCCTGAGGCAGCTCCCTGCTCTGCTTAGCTTGGGGGGCCCAGTGGACGGCCATGGGGGTGGAGCACAGACCCGCTTCTCCGACCCCCTTCGCCAGCCATCGGTCCCTTCAGCCCTGCAGGCCCGACCCCATGTCCCCATGCCCTCCTCCAGCCCCGTGACAATCCATATGCTGCCAGGTTCGGGGGGTGGCATGAGGAGGAGAGCCCCGAGCTGCTGCCTGGCACCGGAGTGGCTGCTGTGGCCCCTGTGAATGCCCGGGCGCGGTCCCTGGGCACAGTTTCTGGGCGGCAGGCCTGGGCAGGTGTCCAGAGCTGCCCACTGCCCACCTGGCAGGGGAAGCTTGAAGAGACTCCTGCCTGGCCGGCCGGTGTGGCTCAGTGGTTTAGTGTCGACCTATGAACCAGGAGGTCATGGTTCGATTCCCTGTCAGGGCACATGCCCAGGTTGCAGGCTTGACCCCCAGTGT